GGGTACCTCGATGCACGTACATGTAGCAAAGTGCCGATGTTTAGACGATGGCAGTTCTTGTTTACGTTTTGTTGATGGATGCTGTTTGCCAAATCTTATGAAATCTCACCCCTCTAAGATAAATTCCCTGAGGATTTGTCACCCAAACATTTGTCTATATTATCGCGGAAGCATGCACTGTTTATAAATATAATGGTGGGCAGATGTAGGCCCATTCTCAGGGAAAGTGCTGCATTCAAGATCACAAAAAGATGTCAATGATCATTTGGTTGATTCTTGTAGCAGATGATTGTAATGTCAGACAGGAAAATGTATTAAGTTTTATTAGTTAATGTAAGTAGACCTTGGCAATGCAATTTAAGCTCAGTACATTTAGGTCTACATGTAGGCCTATACACTTTGCATTATTAGCTACAGAAATTGTTGAAAATATAGAAACATATTCAAAAACTTCCAACCAAATTTTGGTTACAGATAAGGCCAAAAAACAGTTCTGCTTCTACATTGTAGTTACATGGCAGGTAGGTTCATTGTAGGTAAGGAATTTTTTTGGCAATTTTTTTTTTGTGAATGATAATATAGAGGCATCTGCGTGTAGTCAAGGGTAAAACTTAAAGGTACCGGTAGAAATTGATGGTTTGTGTGTTTTTTCTCATTTTTCCAATAAAAAAAATTAGGGTAGGGGCTGTTAGAATAGGGTAGGTAGGAAACCAGAAGCAGAACCATTTTTTTTTTTAGCCTAACCACTAGAACACTGTAGCCTATGTGATACAGATCAAGAGCAGTGAGTCCTAATGAAATAATTCATGAATTTTACTTAACTGTAATACACATGAACAAAGCAGAGTACTATCATGAATCATAAATTCCCTCCATCTGATTAATCATTTATCACTCTTGGACCACTCATGCCCCATGAATCATTCATAAAGCAAACATGAATCATGCATAATTATCTCATGCATTATTCATTGCGAGGGGAGCTGTATTATTCACTACCCATGACCAGTGACCCCTGTCCATAATTCTCAATGAATTATTCATACATATTTTGAATCGTCCATAAAATACGTATTCATGCATTATTCATTGGTGAGGGGAGCTGTTTGTATTATTCACAACCCATGACCAGTGACCCCTGTCCATAATTCTCAATGAATTATTCATAAATAATTTGAATCTTGCATTTTAAGTATCGCATGCATTATTCATTGGTGGGGGTCTCTGTTCTTACTTCACAACCAATGACCAATGAACCCTGTCTATAATTCTCAACAAATTATTCATAAGTGTTTTTTGGACATAATTCACACATCCTGCGCTTGAATTATTGAAGAAGAAAACAAAGGTCAAGGAATGCCAAGTTAGGGGACTTTGCAAGTACTCAGACATGTCATCCAAAAACTGTGATCCTGATGTACATGTAACATATTGTTCATAACATTTTTTTATCTTGATTTTTACGTAATCGAACACCCAGAGTGTCCTGAGGCCAATTTCGTCATGGAGCTGATCAGCACAAAATATTTTTAAGCACAGAAGAAATCAGGTTACCAGCCAAAATGTCTTGCTTTACAGTACACACTGCTGTCAACTGGTACTCAGCTGAATTTGGCTGAAATTGGACAAATAGTATTTTCTGTTTACAGTTTAAGCAGCAATTTGAAATTTGGCAATCCAATCTACGGTAGAACAAAACTTAGAGTGCATGAACAATTACAAATGTACAATACTGATTTGTGCTGTAAATACACATGACATAAAATGCAAGTTAATCTAGCTTTGGCAACCTCCCAATTTGTATACGTGTACATGAAGGCTTGTAGGTCAAAAGTTCTTTCTCAACTTCCCACACTTTTATTCCACGCCCCTGGCTCAACACCAACCAACCATAACCCCTTAACTCATCGTCATGATCGTAAACGGATCTGATCCCATCGTAAACCGGATTTGTGAAGCATCAAGCAACAAATGTTCTGCCAACTACAATGTACAGTATGTACGTACACGCATACGCCAGGTTTAACTGAAACAAGCTCTCGCACTGGAAATTGGGCCTGGGAAACCCATCAGCTTGTCAGCCCCAGCATACTTGGCACGTTGGCACTAGCAGGAAAGACTGCTGAAAGCCATGACCTTTGGGTAGGTCGTTTGAGGTCACCCAGAGCTGGGCCAGAGGGCTGCTAATCTCTCTCGCTGGTAAACTTCTATTTTGGGGGGTTCATTAAAGTTCGGACTGAATGCTACAAATGCCAACACATTCGTTCATGTTGAGCACATGGTATCTTTTGTGCTTTATACTCATGCACATATAATGTACATGCGCAGAAAATTCTGGGTCGAGTGCACTGTAGTAGGCCTATACAATGGCATTTGAACAAGATTTAAAATTGATCCATACACGATACAGTCAGGCACGTCGCCAGCCCTGAGCATCAAGGGGGGGGGGCATAGTACATGTACCAACTACGGGACCCACTACCATAAAAAAATACATGGCTTTTGCCATGGGGGGCAAAGTGCCCGCCAAGAGGGGCCTGGGCCCAATTTCACGGCGCTGCTTAACAGTTAGCAGAAAAGTTGTGTTTAGCATAGCAGAAAAATTTGCTAACCTTAAGCACTATTTCACGGCGTGGACGTGCTAACGGTCGCGCGCGCATGGAGATTTCTATTGTTACGTCACTACGTTTTAAAAGCAAATTTTCCCCCCGAGGTTAGCGTGCCTTTTGCTGTGCTTATGGTCTCCATGAAATAGAAGGAGGCTCTGTTAGCATAAAATCGTGTGCTTACCAGCGCCGTGAAATTGGGCCCTGGCCCCACCAGCCCCCTCCCCCCAACTTAAAAGACACCCAATGGTTTTTTGGGGCGACTGGGCTGCATACAGTTCCAATACCCTGTTCTTTTAAGAACTAAAAATGCAGCGATAGTCCTCACATTTTGAACCATAAATTAATACCACGTATTTCTGTAAAAGAAACTCCCTCCCTCCCTCACTAGTCACTACCACCATCAAAGAACAATATTTTCACAGTAATCATTACTAATGATGACTGCAGGTAGTGTCGTTCTAAAGTTATTTTCTTAAAATATAGGTCTGTAGTTCAGCTGCGAGTGTGAGTGAACTTAAATGTTAACACCAAAACCAGACACCGAGTGACTCGGTCAAGGAACCAGACCAGACAGTGAGAAACACCCATAGGCCACAATAGCCCCAAGCACTTGGGGAATAAGCACCAGGCTCTAATGGATATCACACACTTTTTTCTTCCCTACTTGGATGATCCAACAGCCTGGTGTTATCTTGGCCAAGACAGACAACACAGAGTTACAGCATCTGTGCTCAAGATGAGAGGCAGTCCCAGGCTACCGCCGGAGGGATATTGAGATAAGAAAACCTCTGGGTCCCAGGATTAGTGTATAGTTGTTGGCATTCTTGGGAAGAGATTCTCCAACACTGAATCATCAGCACTTGTTAATATTAAGCAACGAGGCAGGCCTGTGCCCCCCCCCTCCCCCCCACTTCAATCCTTGCGTCATGGGTCACAGATAATCAAAATCCTGTCTGGGTCTGAGTATGTAACCCCTTGAATGTTTGACAGATGTGGATACATTATAAAGACACTGTAGACACAATCCTGAAGTTCATTATTTGATAGTGAATATGTGTACCCAGTACTAGCAATGCCTGCAGAGGTATTTTCCCTCTTATAAATACAACCTACAAGCCCATGTACATGTTATGTGGCTACTTTTATGCTTGTATGTACATGTACAAGGTCTACATAAAAGAACATGAATTCATTATATTTTTAAGCTTACAGGATATGGTTTTTTTTCTACAAGGAATGTCTCCAACTACATACCCCACCTTTATGACTGTACTGCTATTAAATGTAATACCTCAATTCCAGATTTAATACAATGTACCACATACTGACACAATGTGATACAATGTGCTACACTGTATCAAGTTCACTTCCTACTTCATATACAATGTATAAATCCAAAATTCTAGTGCTCCCTGGTCAGTCACATACATGTAGTACTAGTACGGGTACATTGTGCAGTTCTCAGCACACACGGAGACATCCAAGATTTTTTTTATGTCTAGAAGCAATTCCCAAGATGATACAGAACTCTGTAACTGCACACACAGGGGACAGTTAAGTAGGTTTACTGCCAAGGTTGTATATTTTGTTCAGGCAACTCAAATTCAACCCTAACACAGCAATGAATACTTGTGCAGTACATGTACACGTAGCCCTATCCTGCATATATGTATGCGTACATCGGTACATGTACTGTACACTTCTTAGGAAGTACATGTATACATCCGTAAATTGTAAATATTGAGGGTAAATTTGTTTTCACACCGTCAAGTTTACAACTTTGTAATTTGAAGGTTTCATGTCAAACAGCTTAAATCGGTTGAAAGGTTTTATAACGTAATTCCAATGTGATTACATGTAATTCTGTAATATTTGCACATTAGGCCAAAAAAAATATATACTTCTGCTTCCGATTACATGGCATTTGAAAATAGGGTAGGTAGGTAGTGAAATAATTTTGTTTTGCCAATTGTTTTTGTGTACGATCATATGAAGGCGTCTGCCTGTTGTCAAGGGTAAAAGGTAGAAACTGATGGTTTTGGGTTTTTTCCTCATATTTCCCATAAAAAAAATTAGGGTAGGGCTGTCAGAATACACATGTAGGGTAGGTATGGAAACCGGAAGCAGAACTATTATTTATTTGGCTTTATGTATTCATAAGGTACATTTATAACAACTTTGAGGTTTCTCCCACAAAATAGAGGGATTTGACCCATATTTGGCTAACTCAGTTCACACATGTATGCAAGGTTTCCATCCAGAATTGGCATGATCAACACAGGTCAAATGTGATTCACCCAGAAATGGAGTTCACTCTGATGAAATAATACATTCAGTCAAAGTTGCTTTGGGCAAACACCTGCTTCATTGTGATCCTTGACAAAAACCAACCTTGATCCTGGGTTCTTCAAAGGGGTGGGTGGGGGTGAGGTTGGGGTGAGGTGGGGGTGAGGTGGGGGTGGGATGGGGTTGGGTGAGGTGGGGTGGGAGTGGGTGGGTTGGGGGTGGGGATTGTTGGGGGTAGGTTGGGTGGGGTGGGGATGGGGTTGGGTGAGGTAGGGGTGGGATGGGGTGGGGTTTGGTGGGAGTGGGTGGGTTGGGGTTGGAGTTTGGTGGGGCTGGGTGGGGTGGGGGTAGGGAATGTGTAGGGTGAAGGGGCTACCCCGAGTCAGATTGTCCATAAGAGTAATTTAAGCCATCACATTGAATATTCCTCTGGTTTTGTAACCTTGAAACCAAATCCGATACTTGTACCCACATTTCACAGAGCTCTGCTCAGCAAATTATTCTAAACAAGAAATCAACTGTCAACCAACCAGTGGTGAAACATTAAGGGGGGACCTGGGGGAACTTGTCCCACATAAATTGCAAGTGTGCCCCCCCCCCCCCCCCCCCGCCTTAAAAAAAATCCTGTTTCTGTCCCCCCCCCCCCATACATTTTTTTTATTGAAACCAGAGGAGGAATGTAGACAACTTGTTTCAAATCGATGCTACTATATCCCCCCCCCCCCCAAGGATGTGGTGAATATATAACAGAGATAAGGAAACCGTTAGCTCCCGATGTCAAATCAAAACTGACACAGTGACACTCAGTTGCACGTGAGAGCCGGCCACGCGCGCGTACTTTACAGAATTGAGTAATTTTGGTTTTCACGAACTGACACCCAGTGTCATGTGAAAATCAGGCTCTTATGAAAATCGGACTCCTTTACCCATTTATTGGTTAAACCCTCTCATGTGACCGGTCACCTCCTGATTATCGTTGCTTAGGCATGCGCAATACTACCAATGAGTCCGTATTTCATAGAAACCTAAATTCACGCTACACCGGCACTACGTACATTTCCGATTTCACGAATTGACACCAGGTCTTTATTTCACCAGTAAAAAGGTTTTTAATTAAATTGTTGTGTAAGCCCACAAGTATATGGATGGCTTAAATATATGTCAAACCTTCCAAAGCATTTTCCTCCGTACTGTATTTCCGCCACACGTTTGCGTTTCAGTTCGTGAAAACGAAAATTGTTCTATTACGTGTCAGTGTACAAAGTGCGTGCGCACACCCAAGTACCAGTTCATGAAACCGGAGTAATTGGTTACGCAGTTTTCACGAACTGACTCCACACAGCACGCTAGTGTCAATTCGTGAAAACGGTGACAAAATCGTCGCGTCAGTGCAACGAGTTCTCCATTCTGCAACAAAGTCGTATCTCGCGTGAATACGCTCCGTACAACAGGGTCGTATCTCCACCATTGAGTCCATTGACTCTGTGTGTACATCCGGGTTATTTTAAGTGAGATACGACCTTTTGACATACTGAAACTCGTGTTTCACATACGCCCCATTTTAGGAGATACCACGAAATGATGTCCAGCCCTCCATCCTTAAACACTAGGGCTTATCAAACACTATCCCCCCCCCCCCCAACTTTTCAAACTGCAGCAGCCGGCTATGCAGTCTGCCTCCTGACATTTGGTTCTGGATCTGCCCTTAGTTGCCTCCCCCCCCCCCTCCAAAAAAAGCTGGTACCCCTGTCCCATCCCCCCCCCCAAAAAAAAAAAACTGAAACAAATTCCTTTCTATGCCACAGGAACCAACCACAACAGAACCTGCTGTCTTGTAACTCTTGCATGGCCCAATTTCATGGAGACACTGAGCTGACTTACAATTACCGGTACATGTAGTGCCCCCATGAAATTGGGCCCTGCAAGCTTTACAATTTATCACAAATTTTCTCAAGTCCAGCCGTTTTTCCATACACATATTCTCAGTCTGTTTCATAGTTATGCCGCAGACAAGTTCAGGCTCATACTGTAAAACTGGCCCAGAGGAACCAAAACAAATGCTGACGGCAAGATGGCTTGAGACAGAAACTTTTGAGACTCACCCTTGGCAGACCCGTGGACAGTTGCTTGTGCAGCATCTCCCGCTCTCGCTCCAGCTCCCCGATGCGCATGTCGGCCCCGCTGAGGGCGTCCTGCGTCTCCCGCAGCGACTCCATCAGCCGGTCACGCTCGTCCAGCATGTTGACCATCAGCTGCTCAAAGTTGGAGTCATCTCCGTAGCTGGAGCCCCGCTGGCTCCCGTCCTCGGAGATTGTTGGCATTACGTCGCACATCATGTCTTAGAATCCAAGGGCGTGGGGGGGGGGGCGTCGTCTCGGCTGGGCCTGGGTTTTGTATTAATTCCAAAGGGGCGACTCAGTATGAAATCCAGGTATGGCAGCAAAATCCAGCGAGTGCATATTTCTACGACAGGTTAGTAAGAATTGTGCATTATTGTTGAGGGATTATTGTGATACGGAGTCACGCTTGACTGCTCACCCAAAATACATGTGCACTTCCCACTCTCCGCATAGCCACTCCAAGGAGCTAATTTGGACTTAGACTTTTTTCAGCCTCCCTATTCAGTTTACTTAAAGGGAAGATACAACATTTGCACACAACAAAAACCGAAATGATCACATTATCACAATATCTTACTGGATTGTAAGGGAATGACAGTCTGAAGCATACTGTAAAAGCGTAGCTGCTGTGTGCTGACATTTTCAAGAAAAATTGTATTATTCCAACGCTGGTCAGCCAACCAGTGTTGGAGGAAACTGGCTTTTTTTCAAAAACTGCAAATAATTTTTCAAATTTAGTTATTTTGCATTTTGTTTGCAATTGATTACGCACATTTGAGGAATACAAGCCTGCTTTGACCTTACAATTCCCCCAAGTCTATAAATTGCTGTTTCATCTTAAGTGGGGTCAGGGAACCAGACTACAAGAACGTGATTGGTTTTCTTGGTTTTTCCAGCATCTACGAACCAAAAACGTGAAACAAGTCAGTATAACAATATTTGCTATAACATACTAATCCTCCAAATCCATTTATCTCTGAAAATTGCAGAAAAAGCAAACATTGTACATTCCCTTTAAGCACTGATTCATCCCTTTGTATGATTTTTTTCGAAAGGAAAACAGCGCCCTCTTGCTCTGATTCCCGATTCATTCACACTCCACTTCCCCGTACCTGCATAGCCACTTTAGGGGATTTACTTTGCTTTCTCCTACATGTATCTATCTGTCACCTGCTTTTTAGCGGGTGATCTTCGAGTGGCAGGGTATTCTGCAATACTCCAAATTTCCTGGTTTTAAATCGATTGGTTTTACTTTTATTTCTTTCATCATGTTCAAGTTGAACCCACAAGTCCGCCACAGTCACTGATGTCAAACACATAAAATCATACCGCAAAAATGTTGCAACCTGACACTACTTCAGTGGTTGTGTACAAAGTCTATGGAGAGTCATGAAAATGTTCTAATCGTAATCCTAACAAAATTGGAAATGTTTCTCAGTCCCAGATTTATGTCTTATCATCATTTTTTACAATTACTGACCTTCATTGAGATGATATATGAATATGAAGAAAAAGCAGCGTCAGGTTGCAACATTCTTTCCAATTGAATCATACAGTTTGCAAACAAGTACAAACCAATTCACATGATACTGAATCATTGTAATTTGTACACACAAGTACCTTGGTATACAGGCAAGTTAATTACCAGTCATGCCAGTCCACGCAAAAGATTAAGCCTACTGTCAAAATTATACCCGAAATTATTTCCTTCTCTTTGCTTTCCAACACAAAAATACACTCTACGGGATCCCCTGAAATCTTATTTACCTGATCCCGTCACCTGGACTCCATGTTGGTGCGAAAAAAACGTCAAAATTCTTCCTCAAAATATTCCTCCCCGTATCCTTTCAGTCCCGCGACACACACAAATTTCAGACTTGGCCAGCCATCATGGTGCCGCGACTGGTCCCCGCGTCCAATTACGTTACAATAGCATGCCGTGTGGGTCGGGAACCAGCGCTACTTGCACTGTATTAGACTTGCCATACCAGCCACTCTTGCGTTAGAAAAAAAATCAAGGTCTTTACAAAGTTTAATTTCTAACAATGCAATGCCCCGCCCCCGCTTTCAGCCTCTGCTATTTATTTCTCGGAAAAGTGTCACAAGTACATTGAGTTTGCGGTTGACAGAATTTCTACACGTTCAGTGGTTTCGTTATGTGATGGAGCGTGGGATTCCTTTTTACACGGGGTAAAAAAATTGGTCAAGTGCAGAGTGCGTGGACTTGATCCCCCATGAAAATGGTTCACGTGTGATCGTGTATGCAAATGGACTGCTGTTATTATTTCATTAGCCGGTGAACTTCAGATAATAGTATCAGTGTGGTTACTTGCTGTTAAGGGCCTCATTCTCTGGAGCAGAGGGGGCTGATGTTACCAATTAAAAAAAATGTTTACTTTCCTCGAATTCTGCCAGGAGTTGGGAAAGTTGGGGGGGGGTGCAGTGGCGTAGCTGCGGGGGCCAGGGGCGTGGGCACGCCCCCATAAAAACGTCCCCCCCCCCCCTGGAAATTTGGCATCCGGAAAAAAGCACAGCCGTATTATGAGTTAACATGATGATTAGCTGGAAGAGAATAAAGTCCCTTTCCCGCGATTTTGTGCGTATGAAACCCTTTCTTTTCGCAAGTGGCTGTATATTTTAACGTCCGTGGATGGAACTTGGCTATAGCGGTAGTTATTGTCTAACATAAACCACGATATAGGTTTTTTTAGTCGGGGGGGGGGGGGGCGCACGAGAAGGCATAATAGGCATGGGGGGCAGTGTTCCCGGTTCCCCCTCCGTTACGCCACTTTCCCGGAGGTTTTGTTAGTGCATTGGCGCCCCGTGTTTTATTTCGAGGCGGGGAGTTTGAGTATTAAACTTCTCTAAGTTTTTAATAGCATCGCAATGTATTTATAATATTTGGGGGCAGGGTTCCAGGGCGGATCCAAAATACAATTTTGGGGGGGGCAAAAAAAAATGTAAGTTCCTCAAAAACTGGGTCCAAAAAATTACGGCGTGAGGTTCGGGGCCTGCTTAAGGGCCCCGATTTTTTTGGATTCTAGATAGATGCTCTGTGGTACGGTGCGATAGATGCTCTGTGGTACGGTGCGATAGATGCTCTGTGGTACTGTGCCCAATAAAAAAAATCGTCCCACCCCCATCCCAAACACAGTCGCCCTCCCCCTCCCCAAAATGCATTGTTTCACACATCAGCGTTGTCAATGGGGGAGGGGGTGTGGCCGGGGTACACACCACCCTCAAAATTCGTCTGTCCCCCCCCCCCCCCCACCCCAGTCGCCCTCACCCCCCCCCCCCCCCCTACTCACTGGAAATTTGTTAGAAATTTGTTAGTCCTATAAAATGTGACAATGGTTAACGGTTTAACAGAAATTGGGCGCCCCCACTGTTGCAGCTAGCTAGTCCCCCCCCCCCCCCCCCCCCCGGCCCCCGGTGATAACGCCGTACTTGTTCAATACCCGGTTCCTGGATGGATGTTGTAGTATAGCGCCCTCTATTGACACAATTATTAGTCAGATACCCACATCATTATTTTGGTTGACTTTTTCCCCCTCTAAATGTGCACTAATAAACGAATGTACGTCTGGGTAACATGCTCCAGGTAGGTGTGTGGTTGTCACACAGTGTGAATGAGAATTTGTAGTTGTGCACCAAAACTTGTAAAAATGACCGAAGTAGTAGATTACGACAGCTTAAATTTACTTTTGAAGGTGAGCTTGGAGAAACCCATCAGCATTATGTTTTTGCATTATTTTATCAGCTCAGGACTAGGAGCGGTTATTAACTTATGAGGATCTATTTTTGACGCACTCATGGCACTCTCAAAGAGTCTCATTCAATTTGCATGATTTGCGTTGGACAACGCGCGCGCGTTGCAAGCGTTACCTGCGCTGATTATGGTGACTCGAGGATAACTATGCCTAGCCCGACTGCGTCTGGCCGTACAGAACTATCGCAAGCTCTGTAGTACGGCCAGACGCCCGATGCTTCCACAGAGACTGAATTTTGTTGGCCGCCGATGTAGCGATTTTGCTACATCTTTCGATCGCGATTATCTTTTCATCCAGGACACACATTTCCAAAGTTAAGGTTTGTAGTCGTAGAGCAACTCATACCTTTTCGAAAAAACGTTGTTTGGTCTCAATATTTTCATCTATCTGGCCACAAGACGAATTTCAGTCATCAGATTCCACAAATATCGTCCCCCATGCGATCCCCCATGCGATTTCAAAATGGCGGCCGCGCTGTAATGTATGCAATATGCAGGCGCGCCCGCGCAAACTCATGAATATGCATAAACAGTCTGTGACGTACGACCTCGTGTTTTTGGATGTACGGCCCCGCCGCACGCACGTCCAAAAACACGAGGTCGTACGTCACAGATTGTTATGCATATTCATGAGTTTGCGCGGGCGCGCCTGCATATTGCATACATTACAGCGCGGCCGCCATTTTGAAATCGCATGGGGGATCGCATGGGGGACGATATTTGTGGAATCTGATGACTGAAATTCGTCTTGTGGCCAGATGGATGAAAATATTGAGACCAAAGAACGTTTTTTCGAAAAGGTATGAGTTGCTCTACGACTACGAACCTTAACTTTGGAAATTTGTGTCCTGGATGAAAAGATAATCGCGATCGAAAGATGTAGCAAAATCGCTACATCGGCGGCCAACAAAATTCAGTCTCTGTGGAAGCATCGGGCGTCTGGCCGTACTACAGAGCTTGCGATAGTACTGTACGGCCAGACGCAGTCGGGCTAAACTATGCCAGTTTCTCACTATCGCACCGGGTACAACTAGGCTATAGAATACAGGGCCACTCCATTCTATATCAGCGCATCCATGGCTGCGTGGATGCGCGTCGGTTTTCTATAGCGCCCTCTATTGATTAAATTTGCTTCATGCCCACTCTGCGTCTGCGCATCCACGCATCCAATAAAGTGCCCTCTATGATTAAAATTAACTTCATGCCCAACCCGCTTCCACGCATCCGCGCACCTAGGCATCCAATAAAGCGCCCTCTATTGATTGAAATTTACTTCATGCCCACCCTGCATCCACGCATCCACGCATCCAAGACGGAATGAGTGGGTAGGTTAGGGTTGGTTTTAGATAGGGAAATGAAGCAGTGGGTCCTAGGGTAAATACAGTAGAGGGTCCTGGGTTAAATAAAGCGCCCTCTATTGATGACTTCATGCTCATCCACCCCGCATCCGCGCATCCACGCATCCAAGACATCCCAAGCTGTCTCACTTGGCATATATACTATGTATCATAGACATATAATAAAACCTAGACACGACATTTGCTATCATTCTAGGCCAATTATTGAAAATACAGTTTTCAAGACCGAGGTATAACAAATCTAAAAAGTTGGCGAATACCATGTTGAATACCAAGTGAAAATGTTGCCAGGATGCTAACTGCAACATGAAAACAAAGGTTGAGGGTGAGTGTAGGTCAGAGGATGCCAGCTATTTTTTCCCAATTGTGCTGCTTTTAAAATTTATCTTGAAAAGTTTGGTCCTTTACCTTCAGGCTAGCTCCAAGGACTTGGTAGTGCGTTTGTGCGATCAGGCGTTCCTGTACCGAGACCTGATCCATCCGCCGGCCGAGGTTGTGCACAAGATTGCCGAGGGGTTGACGGCCAATGACGGCGAAGCGAGCAAGGTGCATAACAGACTGTTTCATGGATGCCGCCGCCTTTGTGATCTTTGGGGGCATTCATTGAAAATATGTCCCATCATGCCATTGAATCCTGAGCACAATGAGACATTTTCTATGAAATGCCCCCAAAGATTGCCACGAGATCACGAAGATGGCGGTATCCCAGACAGGGCTCTGGAGTGATCTGAAACATGCAAAACTAAATCACTTTTGTCACAGTTTAGCCAGCAAATTTCTCCAAAAATTCCACTGGGGCAAAGAAAATGTCCTCAGTATTTCACCAGCCAAGTTTGCAGACTCAATTCAATTTTTAAAGGAGACTTTTCTTCAATATTTTGCACATGAGAGGGAAGTCAAGTGATTTCAAAATGGGGCTAAATACTAGACTGGTACATGTCCTGCCATGGTCCATCTACAGTATTTGAAAAGACTGACCTCTTCATTCATTGTCAATAGTCTGGTGGCTTGACTATGGAGAAATGTGTAGTAAATTGAGACTAGTTCCCGCTTCATGCCACATGTTTCTTAAATTCTTTTGGCATGGTTGATTGATGCAGTACTGAAGCTGTGTTGGACTGGTTGTTTTAGGTGCCAGTCTATTTTCTTGTTTTGCATGTTTTCAATACCTAAAGTTTTGGGACTCTCATACACAGTATTGAGAGTCCCAAATCTTCGGACTAGTGGTATCCGTGAAACAGTCTTGGAGGTACAAAATGTAGACAGGAGGTCTCATGATTTTAGGTTCATTTCTTGTGTGGAGTGCCGTTGCCTCGTGGTCTGGAGCACTGAATTTCTGGTCTGCAGGTAATTTTGCAGGTTGTGGGTTCGAGTCCAGCCTGGGGTTATGCTGCGTGTGCCCTTGGGCAAGGCACTTTGTCACTCATTGCTATTATTATTATTAATACAAGTTTCCGAACTGAACACTTTTTTGGCTAGCCACGGTCTAAAATTGGGGCACAGATGCGCTCAATTTCATCAACTGTCCTAGTCTTCTGCAAGTCACAACCCTTCAAGTTTTGCAAAACCACTTCTGCCCATAGAGTTAGCACCCACACCTCAGATTTCTTTGAGGTAATCTTCTGTGGAGTATGGGTAATACAGGGCGAGTCAAAAAAAGCGGAACCCAAACCCCCAAAATTATATTTCATATTTAAAAAAATATGTAGTACCAAAAAATAATAATGACTGGCAAGCCAATTTCATAAGCTACTTTTAGATGTAAGTAATTACTGAAATTGCTCAATCCGTTCAAAGAATATCACCATTTAAACACAATGACCCTAAAACCTGTCTCGTCCGAAAATGCGATTTCAAGAATCGCCGTCACAATTGTCTTCAAACATCACCAGCGATAAAACCTCAGTTTAAAAGTTAAAAATATTCAACGAAGTCCTTTTGAAGGCCTGTCTTTAAAAAAAGTGGATTTTATAAATCATATTGTTTGCCTAATCAGGGTTGTTTTTTAAAGATATTGTGTACTACAGTTGTTGACAGTTGTTGAAACAAATCTTCTGTGTCATTTTCTTTGTTGTTCCACACAGTCAAAACACACAATACATTGTATTTTTTTGACGAGACAGGTTTTAGGGTAATTCTGTTAAAATGGTGATATTGTTTGAACGGATTGAGCAATTTCAGTATTTTTTTCATCAAAAAGTAGCTTATGAAATTGGCTTTCCACTCATTATTATATTTGGTGCTACATATTTTTTTAAATATGAAATATATTTGTTGGGGTTTGGGTTCCGCTTTTTTGGACTCACCCTGTACTTCAAATCCATGCACAAGTCTCTTGTGTGGTTAAGCTCAGGGCAAGTAGTAGGCAGATTAAGTCGCATCACTGCTGTTTTACAGTTACTTTAACACTTCATATCCCTTCACCTGAAACTGACCTGCAGGGTTTTAAAGGGTTTTACATATTGACCTGGAATTTTAGAGTGACTTTCGACTAAGAAGGTTAAACCTGTAGTTTTGACTTTTGATTTTGGTTAAAATAGTTGCTACGTTCCCTTGGTAACCTCATCAGGAATGTGCTGTACATTGGGTGCACAGACGCCACCTCTGTCCAAGCTGTCTTCCCAGGTGGGTAATTTTTTCTTTCGTTTTTAAAAACATGTCTTGACTCTTGATCAAGTTGAAGCATTAAGTGTTTACCCTTTCGTTAACAGGATATATTCTTCTCCCTTCTGGAGACCTTGTTTTTGTGACTTGTATCTCCAGTAAACAATTTACAGCTGCTTTACCATATGATATCAGAGCAGGCCTGAATGATCATTGCAGTGCAAGGGTTGTCATTAGTACTGGGTCAAAACGTTGTAGTTTTATATTGGATATGCAGTCACTTGCCGGAGCGTTATCACAATGAATCATTAGCCTATCACCCACTAACTGATATCCCAAGAATGTTTTGGGTAACTTGCAAAATCTCCCCTGAAAAAATGGGAGAAACTAGTGCGCATGCGCTACTTCTGCAGGCAATTACAGTCCATTTCTTGGTCGCACGTTTGCTACATATCATAAATAAGCTTGAAAATGACTCTTGCGAATCAGTATTTGTGACCTTTGGATGCATATCAGAAGTTGGCTGCTATATTTTGCATTTTTCGAAAATAGAAATTTGTCGGCAAAAAACAATCCCGTCCCGAAGTAGTTAAAGGGAATATACATCATTTGCTTTTGCTGTAATTTTCAGAAATGGATGGAATTGGGGGGTTGGCAATATATAGCAAATATAGTTACACTGACTTTTTTGAGGTTTTGGGTTCGAAAATGCTATAAAAACCAAGAAAAACGATCATTTTCCTGTAGTCTGGTTCCCTGACTCCATATAAGAAGAAACAGAGCAGTTTACATACATTGGGGAATTGTAAGTTCAGGAAACCAGTCTAGCTGGCTCGTACCCGTTCATAGGTTTGTAATCGATTGCAAACAAGTGCGATGGTCAATTGGGGCCAGTATTTGAAAAAAAGCCAGTTGTTTCCAACGCTGATCGGCCGATCAGCGTTGGAAATTGATACAAAAATACCACTTTTCTTGAAAATGACAGTATACCAGGTGCCATGATTTTACAGGATGCTTTACACTGTCATTCACTAACAGTCCAGCAAGGTATTTCAAAATGATTTGGTAGTTTTATTTTTTGATGTTTGCAAATGTTGTATTTTCCCTTTAATGTGTAATTTTATTTCTCTCTGTATCTGTGTCAGGTGACTTCCACAAAAATCTCAAAGACCTTCTCACAAGTATCTTCACAAAAAAATTGTAAGTATGTTCACGATAAGGGTTCTGAATTGACAGAAATAAATGCACTTCTGACCAAAATGATACATTGTGCAGTGCAGAGGTGTAACCAAGTACGTCACAAGTCCAGACACCAGTCAGGTTGCAAGTCACAAGGAATCTTAAAGAATGATATACTTTGTAGGGACCCTGTGTCTCGATATGTTTTAATGGTTTGTAACGTGACTTACAACCCGATGACTTGTGACATGACTTGTGATGAATCTGTGATGTCTTGCGATTCACTCGTGACGGCTTGTGATTAACTTGCGATGTCTTGTGATTAACTTCTGAAGTCTTGTGATTAAGTTGCGATGTCTTGTGATTAACTTGTGATGTCTTACACTATATGATGTCTTGTGGTGAATTGTGGTTAATGTGTAATATCTTTTCATACACTGGTTTTGACTTGTGATTAACTTGTAATGTCTTGTGATTAACTTGTGATGTCTTGTGATTTGCTTGTGATGTCTTGTGATTTACTTGTGATGTCTTGTGATTAACTTGTTATGTCTTATAATTAACTTGTGATGTCTTTCGATTAACTTGTGATATCTTATTATTAACTTGTGATGTCTTGCAATTAATTGTGATGTCTTATAATTTACTTGTGATGTCTTTCGATTAACTTGTGATGTCTTATTATTAACTTGTGATGTCTTACAATTAATTGTGATGTCTTGTGATTTACTTGTGATGTCTTGTGATTGAATTGTGATGACTTGATCATAACCCTGATTCAGAAGACTAAATGCCCTCTCCCCTTGTTGAGTATTTGCTTGGTCCCACATGCTCAGGAAAGTAAAACCACCATACTTAATTACATGTACCTTCTGGACTGTGATGTAGTCTTATTTATTTCTTTTGTCAACAGAACAACGTGGAGGAACCGATCCGTCAACAGCCAAAGTGAGTCTTACATCAAACATTAAATTGATCATATTCATTCTCAGTCATCAGGCAGTAGTTAATGAAATTCCCAAAAATCTAATTCTTGAACTAACTTCACTCAACCAAAAAAGAAAGTCCCCCTTAATACTTGTCTGTCTAACTCAAAAACTACTGGGCACATCTTGCTCAAATTACGACTAATCAGTACAGAAATTCCTTAGCAATCCAGCCATACTCTTTGTTTGGCCCAAAACAGTGATAATGTGTACAAAATTATGCAATTTATGACAAATGGTACCGAAAAAAAGTTGTACGTCTGTACATGTATATGTGCAAGGTGAGTGCACGTATACAAACGTGCAACTGTTTTCGGTATCATTTGTCATAAATTGCATAAATTCATACTCGTTATCACTGTTTTGGGCCAAATAAAAAGTATGGCTGGATTGCTAAGGAATTTCTGTACTGATTAGTCGTTATTTGAGCAAGATGTGCCCAGTATTTTTTGAGTTAGACAAACAAGTATTAAGGGGGGACTTTCTTTTTTGGTTGAGTGTAGTTAGTTCAAGAATTAGATTTTTGGGAAATTTCATTAACTACTACCTGATGACTAAGAATGAAATTTCCCCCGAAAAATGGGGGAAACTAGTGCGCATGCGCGACTTCTGCAGCGGCAATTACGGTCCATTTTCAGTCCTACACATACTACACATAACAAAAGAGCTGACCAGTGAAGTTGCACAAAGGTCTTGCTGCTTCTTTTATTGCACTGGAAGAAATTTGAGAGTTTGCTTCGGAAATCCTATCATTTTTTTGAATTGCGCGCTGCTTATATTAGGCCAAACAGGTGCGCGCTCGATGCACAACCAATACGAGATTCCCTAGACGTTGTTCCTGACAAGTCATAATAGCGCCCTCTCGCGGCGGCAGGTTATCGCGGTGGGGGGGGGGGGGGGGGGGTTCGCATATCACCCCATAACAACGTCTAGGCCCTAGTTTACCATTTGACTTGTGATCGGCTTGTGGTGAACTTGAATGTAATCGTGGCAGATTGACTAATTGCTACCTGACAATTTTATCCGTCTACTTACATGTAGTTTCCTTGCCGCGTCTGGTGGACTTTGACTGGCGGGTTGACATCAAGACCTCCTCAGACACTCTGGCCAGGATGTCAGTGCCCACATGTGTGCTTCAACTCAAGGTATGTGGATTTGGGTCGTTTTTGTGTTACCTTAACAAAGTTTTGGGAGACACTAACCAGACACTAAATTCTGTATGACCGTGCTGACCATACCTGTCCATTGTTGGAGGTACCCTGCAAGTGAAATCTTTAGAAAATAGGGACAAAGGGACAACAATGCACCTACCCCAGAACTGTCCATCCGCTGGAACGGACGTAGACCTGTATGACTGTAGACAAAATTGGACAAGAGTCCTTTTTTTCTTGAATGGAGTGCTGTGGTCTCGTGGTCAAGGGCACTGATTCGTTGTCTGCGGGTAAAGCTGCATGTTGTGGGTTCGAGTCCTGGTTGGGTCATGGTGTGTGTGCCCTTGGGCAAGGTGCTTTGTTACTGGTTGCTTCTGTCCACCCAGGAGTAAATGGGTACCTGTGAGGGCAGTGATGGTTATTGTGATTGAATTAGCTTCCTTGCGCCTAACAGGCTGCATCAAGCTGTATACTACCCAGGGAGCTGAGAAGGTTTCAGGAGTGTTTGCCCGTTGAAACAGGGATAATAATAATTGTAAAGCGCTTTGATACCCCGTTGCGGCGTAAAAGCGCTATATAAAAGCCTGTTATTATTATTATTATTATTATTGAATCAAAGTTGAAATTTTGAGGTCGCGTCCACTTTGCCATGGAATGAGCCTAGCTGTTAAATTGCTTCAACAAACGCTATATGGCTACTCTGTACTCAGAACAAAGGCCTCATTCAATAGCGCCCTCGCTCAGTCAGACATATGTCCATTTGCTGATGATGTTGTTTTGACTCCTTCCATTCCGTGGACAGGTTCAGGAGAACGCGACAAGGGTCGACGACGCGCCCGAAACGTCGACCATGAACGTGGAGCTCAGCAAAGAGACGTTAGACACCATGCTGGACGGACTGGGCAAAATACGTGACCAGTTGAGCTCTGTCGCTCAGAAATAATAGGCATTTCCTTTCAAATAATTTTTATGTGAGTATACTTTCTAACAAGTAAATATAAACTCCTTTATCCAGTAAAAAAATAAAATGGTCACAAATAGTGACCTACTGTTTGAGTTTGAATACTTTTAACTCATAAAAACTCTTGGATGTGTCTTTCAATAAAAATGTAAATCTTAGATCAAAGGGGTCATTTTTTTCAAACTCTGTGCCCTGTGGAGCCCCTAGTTAAGTCTTGGCCTAAGATCGACAGGATGTTATTTTTGTTTCCCATAATACAGCCAGTCCCGATCCTATTGATGGGTCAATCTTCTCATAAAGTTGGACATGTACCAGTCTAGTCTTGGGCTTCAAATTGAAATTTCTTGGCTTCACTCTCAGGTGCAAAATGTTAAAGAAAAGTCTCCTTTAAAAATCAAATTGAGACCTCAAACTTGGCTGGTGAAATACTGAGGATCTTGCCTTTGCCTCACGAAAAACTGTTGTCAGCTGAAGAGTGACTAATGTTGCCTGATTTTGTTTTGCATCACATTTTTCTGCACTCAAGGTTTCAGGCGTCCCCCAGTGTACAAAAAAGTGCCATTACTTTTTTTCCACGTGGCATACGTAGTCCTTTTCAGGAACATGGCTTGTAAGGCATAGTCTTTCTGGGAGTGCATGACAAACAAGCACAAACCTGCAACGACCAATCAAGAGACAGAGTCTGTGGGTCAGGTGTTTTACGATTAAACCAAAGAACTTTCAAGTGCTCTGAAGATTGAAAATTTCTCCCCATATGAAAGAGTATTTGGAGTGCACTCGTAGAGTAATTGGTTGAAATATATGTTTCTGCAAGATTAGAACAGATTTAATTCAAAAAAAATCAGAGGGTCAGGGGTTCTAATCCAGCAGCTGGCCGTATGTTGTGTCCTTGGGCAAGCCACTTCACCCCCACTTGCCTCTCCCCACTCGGGAGTATAAATGGGTACCAGCATTGGCTGGGGAGTAACCTGCGCTGGACTGGCATCCCATCTGGGGGAATAGTATTCTCCGTCGTTTCATGGCATCGAAACTGCAGATAAATGCTTGTCTGATGGGCCATATTGGCTCGTGACAGACATGACTTAAAGTGGGATTCGAACATGCAACCTCTGGAGTGCCAGCCCTGTACTGTTACATTTAACAATTGTCGACTGCTGTGATGTGGGATATGACGTTTTTAACACCCAAGGGGCACTCTAAGCTGCGAGGGGTTAAAAGCGGTATATCCCACATCACAGCAGTCAACACTTGTTTTAGCATGTGACCATTCTAGACCAATGAAATTGCAGTATCCAAACTCACGATATACATGTAACAATATCTTTTACGCTGCAGTACAGTTTTCTTGTTCAACTGAAAAGATAATTCATATTGGACTCGGTCAGTTTCCTCTTGTGGTTTATTTCACTATGTATAACTGACAAGTAACTTAAATCAAATCAGTACCTTTGTTTAAAAGTAACTAATAGAAATAAAGTGGTCAGTCTAGCCATGGTTTCATATTTCATTGATATCCATTTATCAGGGGTGTGAAATCTCAGCTTTACAGCTGATTTCAGCTTTTTTTGTTTTGGATTTCAGCTTTTCCTCTCACTTGCTGTGTACAAAAGTATAGGAGTTTTCCAAATTCAGCTTTTTTACACCTTTTTTTCAGCTGTTTTTATCAGTGGTCACTCACACCCCTGATTTATAGTAAATAGGTCAGATATAAATATGCTTGTACATTATGTTATAATTTTGTAGGCATCACTTATGAAACCAATAATATATTATGAGCAAGTTCCGGCGCGAACTATAGTTACCCATAGTTCAACCAACTTCGCTTTAACCCTCCTATGCAAACATACATTCTGTGCAAAGTTGTATTTTCAGTCAAAATCAGTCAAGTGACTGTTTTTAACAGTTAAGAGCTCCCAGCCTACGTAAAGCAGGATTGACTGGCTGTGACTGCTTATGTAACTTGATACCACTATGCTTTGACTGTAGATGATTGATAAGACAGCTGTGTCCACCAGTTGCCTGCTTTTGTCTGGTGGCTGAATTTGACTAGTCAAAGTGCTTGCGTTAAACATGATCTGACTGTTTGTGACTAGCCTTTGCAAAAGGCATGGCAGAGGAAGAGGATTGATTTTTGACTGTCTGTGACTGTTCAGACAGTAGGAGGGTTAATGGATGAGAGGTTGGACTATGGTACTTCAGTCGTCTACATGTATTAGGAGTCACGGGGCACACAGTTCCGTCACTGGTTACCAATAGCCGTGTGCATCATAAAGCACAACGGGGACCAAGGGGCTAGGACCAAGTTGTTTTGTTGTGACATTTTGAACATCATTTGCCTAGCGGTGGTCGCAGTTTGCTGTTTTGGACAGGTGTAAGTTACGCCACAAATCAACCACTAGTCGACTAATCCTTGCCTGTACTGGCTCTTACTTTTAAAGGATAAGGCTGTTTCCACACACCCATGCACATCAAGTAATAAATAATACATTAAACTTATTTTCATTTTTTATACAACTAAAGCCACGAATAATCCAAGGCAAAAGTCCAAGGCAAAAGTTCAAGCGATAAAGTCTTTGACATCTGTTTAAAATGTACTGATATATATTCATTACAAGTGGAGCACAAAAATATACAATTCGAGTAAATAGAATTTAGCATCACAAACGCAACATTATTTAAGTGACTTATGGAGCCATGTTGGTCGTTTCCTAATAGATTGATAATTTTGTTCTGAATTTAGTTGATAAAAGTGGCCAAAGGATATATACTGTAAGATTTGTAACATTTTGTTTGTGAAATTAGTATTAACAGATGTTAATTTAATCCTTTCAAGACACAAAAATGTCTCTTTTTTTACGGCAGTACATCTTGGATAGTTTTACATGGTAATTTTTACTTTGCAGTACTTTTTCAATACGTTTTGATGCTTATCTGAATTGGAAGTAGGGAATTTCCAAAACGGTCAAAATTATTATTTGTCGATCCATGTTTGACAATGTGACTGTTAGAAATATACGACTAAAATATGTAAACCTTTAAAAGTAAGGTGATTATATATATATATAAAACTTTAACTTAAATAACATTGATCAATAATTATCTTTTACATTTTCATTGAAAGGCTAGACTTTTAAAACCAGCACCAACAATGTTTACAATTTCGATAATCATAAGATTTTTTAATAAAAAGTGAAATTTTGATAGAACACTCCACTGAACCAAATCTCGCTCGCTCATTTGCTCGACAAACGTCACATCCATATTTTTTTACTTTGTTCATTCTTTCTAGTTGTGTCCTTATATGGAATGTCGGACACTTCGCCCCATTTCCACGTCGCCCCATGTCACTTCGCCCCTAACCACTTCGCCCCATCCCCACTTCGCCCCATTCCCACATCGCCCCATCCCCACTTCGCCCCATTTCCACTTCGCCCCATTCCCACTTCGCCCCATCCCCACTTCGCCCCATCCCCACTTCGCCCCAGCCGTTACACGTAAAAAAAAATCTCATCTATTTTTTTGGCTTAAAAAACAATTTCAACAGATTCACTAATTGCTAACCAACGGAAAGAATTAGCCCATCACCAAATGAACAATTCATAACCAACCTTTCAGGCTCTCCCCTACCAAGAAAAAAGCTTGAAGTAAAAGATCCAACTTTGTTCCCAACCCGGCTATACCAACCCGTCTCCCACTTATCTGAGAACGACAATACCTTTGACATCCTAATTTCACTCTTGGAGGAACCAATCTCATCTAAATGAAGTTGTAAGTGTCACATATCAGACAAATTTTGACGGAACATTTTCCTCAAGGCAGTGAGTTCCTTTTAACTCACTGACCCATACCTACGGATTCTTTTGAATCCAGCCGCTTCCAGCGGCTGATGATTCACAAGCCAATAGGAGAGGCGTCTCTGAATGGGATAGAGCCATCATTTCTCTCATCTGTGTCTCGAGCACCTCATCAGAGAGTTTGTATTTTTCCTTAAGTTTCTAGAATTGGGAGCATTTATTATCTGGGGTCTTTGGCAGTTTATTTGGTCTGCACCCCTAGCCTTCACCTTTTTCATACTACATGGGGCGAAGTGGGGATGGGGCGAAGTGGGGATGGGGCGAAGCGGGGATGGGGCGAAGTGGGGATGGGGCGAAGCGGAGATGGGGCGATGTGGGGATGGGGCGAAGTGGGGATTGGGCGAAGTGGTTAGGGGCGAAGTGACATGGGGCGACGTGGAAATGGGGCGAAGCGTCCGACACCCCTTATATGCTTCAGATCACACCTGCACAACAGAGTGGTGCAAATTCCATTTTGAAGTTTTGTCTGTAGTGATCATTAATCACTCTCTGAGTCTGTTGTGAATGTTTGTAGACAGCAGCACATGGTACTAACACGTAAGAAGTTTTCATTAATTGTGGCAATCTCCGACATCGACCAATAAAACTCATCTTTGCTCTATGTTGCTGACTACTGTCAGTGACATCTACCAGGCAGAATCCAGCTGAGACAACCAACTGCCAGTTTTCAGCCTAACCATGATTAGAAAACAAGATGGCAGTTGTCCAAATCGCTTGGCAACTGCTCAGCTGAATAGTACGTGGCGCAATTTAGCTTGCCCATGGTCCAAACGGTTTGACCAGATATGGCAAAACTGGCTCAGTTGTGGTCCAACTGGCTTGGTTAAATACAGCTTAGTTTGCTTAATAGCCAGCCATGGTCCAACTGGCTTGGTCATTGTCCAACCGGCCTGGCCATGGTCCTACTGACTTGGTCATGGTCCAACTGGCTCAAGCTTGGCCATGGTCCAATTGGCTTGATGTTGGACCAGTATTGCCCGTGAACAACTAGGTAAGCCATATCGCAATGACCCCAATGGCTTGGATAAACATGTGGCCAAACTAGCTTGTGCATTAATGGCTAAAATAGCTACAGTGGCGTATTTATACTGGGCCCAACTGGCTTGGTCATCCCAACTGGCCTGGTCATAATATTGTCCAAGTGGTAAGGCCGATTAACCACAACATGACCAGCTTGACGAACTGAGAAATGACATTGTCATGTATGGCCCAACCAGCTCAACCATGGTTAGATTGGTTTGACAGTGGTTGTACTGGCTTGGCCGTGATCCAACTACACTGGCACTTGTACAGTTGTTTTGGCCATGGTCCAAATGAATTTGCCATGGCTCACTTGGCTTTGCCATGATCCTCCGGCTTAGCCCTGGTACATAGTCCAACTTGCTTGGTCATGGTCCAACTGGCTTAAACCTGGTTCGACTGGCTTGACCATGGTCCAACTGGCTTGGCCATGGTCCAACTAACTTGGCAGTGGTGCACCTGTCCTGGAAATTATACAAGGGGCTAGTCCAAACTGGCTTGTCCATGGTTCAATAAGATCAGGCATGACCTATCTGTCCCCATTGATCGGCTATGGACAACAACAAGACCTTCTCGTATAAGGCAAATTCATGCAGTCTCTCCTACTGGAACACCATCCCTCAGTCCAAAAAGGGGTTGTTTGGGTTCTGTTTTGGGGGGTCCTCATCGAAGCATATGGTGACTACTGGCGTCTGAGGGCGCTGTCCAAGCATCAACGGTTCAAAGACGATCGGAATAGATTCCACAGACAGCGCCTCATTGCCTTGGTTACTGCTCTCTTTCTCATCTCCGAGAGGACTGTCTTTCTTTTCGTCAGGTTTGCTCTCCTGGTCTTTGTTCTTTCTGGCCTCCCACTTTCTCAGCAAGAAGGACTTCTCGCTGACTCCACGAGTCGTCTCCTCATCGTTGTCTTCCTTGTTGGCCTTCTTAGTGAGATTCTCGGAGGACTTGCTCTTGGGCTTGCCTAGCTTACTGCCTCCCTCCGCATCCTCTGCTGTCAGCGAGTCCGGTTCTAGGAGGCTGTTCTGTTCCACCTCCTCATAGTGCCAGCTCCGCCTCCGGAGCGACTTGGGCATGCCTGGCAGGGGTAACTTGTTGGCCATGGTGTGCAGGCCGGTGGACAGGCCCTTGCCCGCCTTCTTCAGGTTGTCCAGATTGGAGCTGGCCGACAGCCTGAGCTCGGCCGAGATGCGACGTACGCGGGTCTGCATGGGTGACCTCAGGGAGGCCGAAACCAGACCTAGACCAAGAAAAACAAAACCTAAATTGTAACATGCTTTATCTTTGAGCCTTTTACCTGCTCCTGTACTTACCTTTCGAACTATTTGGATCCACAATGCTAAAACATGAGAGTCCAAATTCCAAAAAGCTAAGACAGAGCGGTGAAGACAGGACCGCTGTAGCATGAATTAAGGTTTTATGAAATACGGACTCATTGCAGGTATTGCGCATGCTCATGCATAGATAATTAGGAGAGGGACTGTTCACGTTAGTCTGGTTCCCAGACCAAAAGTTTCTGACTATTCCCGATGAATCTTAGGTCCGGTAGCCTCCGGTAATACATTGTATTACAATTTACGTCACGTGACTAAAACGGGAGGAATTCCTCCTTTTTCTGAAAATTTCCGAAGTTTGCCGAATTCGTTTCGTCGACAATCGGATAGCGCCCGAGTATTTCCGAATATAATATAGGTTTAATTAACTGCTAATTGCTTATTAATTTTTTTAAAAATGAGTTGATAATTAATATTCATTGCTTTCATTTGGATAACTTGAAATTCAACGACGATTTTGTGCATCAAATATACTCGGATCGTATTGGCGAACTTTTTGCTGCGTCATGTACAATTTTGAATTTGACGACTGTTACTGATATTTTCCAAAACTCGGTCTTCATTCGGCTCCGCCTGCTAACAGTGCTATTTGGGTGCCTAATTTTGAAGATTCCAGATCAACATTTGTCAATGTTATCTTACAGAAACATCAAACTGTATTATCATAACTGTATGATATTACGAAGCAAGTGATTTACTTTAAAAAAATGATCAGATCGAACATTAAAAGCTAAAAGTGATAAAGCGAAATCGGAAACGAAGCCGAGCTTTGAAAAAGGGCCATCAATGTCGTCATGCTTATTTTTAGCCAGGGAGGCTGCCTGACCTAAGATTCATCAGGAATAGTCAGAATCTTTTGGTCTGGGAACCAGACTATGGTCACGTGAGAGGGCTTAACCAATAAAAGGGAAAAAGAGTCCAATTTTTATACGAGTCCGATTTTCATATGACACCGCCATCACATCACCTAAAGTTGGTGAAAGGCATGCAATGCAAACCAAAATAACCTTAAAAGTTTCAAACGAAACACCAGTAACAAGTCTCTACCTCTCTCTTGAGTCATGCCATCAACTTCCGAAAATTCCATCTTTTCAAAATATTTGACATGTACTAATCACATCTTAAGTGTTCAAAATGTACTTATTCTTTGCTGCAAGATGTCTGAAGGAAAAAAAACCGAAATGTATTTAGCCTTCTGGATATTTTCAGAGAATTCTGTTGTCTGCAGATGGAAGTTAGGCCTACGGCGTTATGTTGCACGTGTAACTGCACTTTGAAATCCCGGACTACTTAGTTAGCTCTTTCAACTTCTGCCTATTCCCACTTCTCTTCTTTGTATCTACCCCATCATCATTCTCTTGCTTCCATCCTCTCACGAGTGGATCCGGTCCACAATCTGAACCCGTCCTTATCCGTCCCGATCATCCATCATGCACACGCGAGTGAGAAACCGCCATTAGTGGCACTTGAACCGGGGCGGACACGTTCTCTGATGAGCAGTGATTTCTATGACCGAGCGTGGATGTCCTGCTACTTGCCCTCGGGCAGATTGTGACATGTCGTCCCTCACACTGGTCGATAGCAAGGCTTACCAAAATTGTGCATGTGCAAAAACAGCTCAGGAGACAAGGGCCCAAAAATATAAAGCAGGTAGGCAAAAAATGTTGCTAAGCAAAACCTATTTGATATATCACGGAGCTATCATCATGAGCTTCACGCTGCGAACCGGTCATTAATATGATATTTTGGCTAGAGTGGTAACCTATGTTTTGCTAAGGTACCGTTATTGTTCTTACCAAATTGTTGTTCTGATCATGGGTGAGTTATAAAAATAACATAGGGTGTATTTACATGTTATTGACTAGTAACTGTGAAAATTCCACGTAATGTGCATATTCTATTCCCAAGTTATGTATACTTGTATGTTAATGAAAAGATCACACAGCTATCGACTACTGATCATTTACCGTCCTACACGAACTGATTAACATCCATGAAATACAATGAAACATGGATGTTTTCCCACCTCCGTGAATGAATGAAAACTTGCAAAGGAAGACAGACACAAAATCGAGTTGACTTGTTCCTGATATTCAAAACACAAAATCTGACAATAAAAATGTTGCAGTCTTGTATTTGAATGTCCGTGTGTAATTCTCACTCAGCTCAATAACTTCAAATGGTATTCCATGGACAGCTACAAAAATAGGTTCTTTTAGTAAAACACGTATAACCTCTGATAGCATAGCTAAATTTAAGTCTTTTTTTTTTCAGAAGAGTGGAAGAACATGCTCTTTCAAGACATACAGCATTGGTGTATCAAATTTGATTGCTTTTAAGATTGCTCCACAAAAAAGGGTATTATTTCACGCTGAGCATTGTTGTGTGATGGCCCGCTCAACATTGAGAAGGTGAAAATTTTGTCAAAATGTGATTTTCATATTGTTTTTCATTAATAACATCTTTAATACCTACAGTTTCAGGTTTCATTCACAGAAATGGTGATTTTGATGAACAAAGTGGGAAAAACAACGATTTTGTGTGCACTCCAAGGAAGAATTTAAAAAAATGTAAACGCTTCATATCTCCAGAACGGGAGGGGCTATGGAGCTCTATCATACACCAAATGAAAACTTACATTATGGGCTTTCCAACCATGAATATAACTTGATTTCACTTTTTTGCGACATAATACCCTTTTGGTGGAGCCGGTCACAAATTAACTACCGGTACTGCACGCCATGCAATGTTTGCCGGTTAATTTAGCATTTAACAACTGACAACGCGATTACTTTCAAACCCCTTCTGATTAATTAGATAAACACTGCATAATTAGATAAACACTGTAGATGCGAAGCAACGAAGTGATTCATAGATACCCGGGCTTTTCGGCGCAAGTTTGATTCAAGAGGTATGATTGTTTTTCTCCTTGGTGAGCCATGAGGGGGATAAGTGCATTTGTGATTGATGAAGTGGTTGTATTTTTACCTTCGTCTTCGTGAAGATCGCTTTGCTTGACGTCACCGGCCTTTGTGACGTCAACGTCCTCTTGCGAGTCTCCCCGCACCGTGCCATTGCTGTTGTCTCTCGGCTCGTGATCCTGAGTAAAGATATTAAAACGTCTTATAAATGAGGGACAATATCTCTGTCAGGTACAAATAATAAGAAAGGAGACAAGATGCAGAGACGGGAAATGTATGATACTCGTTTTACACTGGCATTCCAGAGTTACGCTGAACCAGTGGGTTGCCGCGGATATCCGGTGTTTTTTTTTTTTACATTGGCTTATTTAGCTCCCAGGCCAGACGTATGTTCTTGAAACTCGATGATTCTTGAGTCTGGAATTCTGAATGGTATTACACATAGCAAACGATGAAAACTGGTGTGCAAATGAATAGATGTTTCATCGGATGACGTCAGCCCGCCCCACCTAGCATACATTCCGGGGTCCAATCGATGTTCGACAAAACGTGTGTTCGAACCCTGACGGAGAACATGGTGACGATGTCCTTGGGCAAGACATATTACTAGTACTCCCCGTCATACTGGGAGTATCCGGTTCGTTATATAAACGTCATACACGCGCGCGTACCACTGATTACTAGCGCCCATTGGCTACAAACGCTCGAGCTGCGCTAACTTCAGCTTCTATCAGTGCAAAAAGAGCTGGAGGTGACGTCATACTAACGAACCGGATACTCATGCACCGGGAGTAATGCGCACGTAGCATTTTCGACCCGGAAAGGTAGTGAGTTGACCCTGAAAAGGGTCAGGCCCCACATGACCCTTTTCCGGGTCAATGACTTTTTAGAGTGTGGTCAACAGAAAATTAGTTCACCTGTCTGATATATATCCAGGCGCGGATCCAGAGGGGGGGGGGGGGGGGGGGGGGTCCCCAGCTCTGTCCAAAAAAATAAAAAATATCATACAAATTCCAAAGAAAATAAGTCGAAACCCCCCGTGGTATAATGTCCTCCTGTTCAAAATACGGTACACCATTCTGTAATCTAGTGGTAATAATCGTCGAATTTGAACAGCGCCCAACCCCCAACCCCCCCCCCCCCCCTGTTTTTTTTTATTTTATGGAGGCCAAGTGTCCGGAGAAAAAAACCTGTGTACATTTTCAGATTTTTTTGCTGATGAACCCCCCCCCCCCCTGCGAACATTCCTGGATCCGCCTCTGAAATCTGTTTGGGTCGACCTGGGTCTGACAACAATCCTGAAACCTTGAACTGCTTAGGTTAAAACCATTAAAGTGCCATGCAGACCTGCTTCGTAGAGAAGCATTATGGTTTAGGCATCATGGTTTCAGATGCTTGGGTTAAATTAAAATGTTAATTTCAAGCTCTATCCGACTCAGTGCATGCTGCCATAACCAGTTACTTGTGGAAGCTCCTTACTAGAATTCTGCTCTTCCTTCTTGCCGTTGATCAAAGTTCAAGCTTAATGTCAACAGTTCCTTCTCTATCTTAAAGGGAAGGTTTACTTGGTTTAATGCAGTTCCTCCATCTGGAACTAACTGAAAGAATTTAAAAAGGACTGTCTGAGGTCTTTGCGAAAATTATTGTCCTTTTTCCAAAATTCTACTTTGATTATAATAACCAAAATAGCTTCGTAACGTTGATCGACGCACGCGACGACGGTTTGAAAGTAACAACTCTACGAAACATGAACCGTCAATAATTAAGAGTAATCTCTTCTATAATCTCAACCCTTCCCTTGAGCTAGTTGTGAATGTTCAAAGGTTGAAAAGCGGGCGATTCGCAAAGCGAATGCTACTGGGATTTCAACTTTAAATCCCGATATTATTAATTGGGAGAATGTTACCGTGACAACACAAGTTGGAGTAGTAGAAGACTTGTTTACGGTCAGTGAGAAAGTCACTGTACCGGCATGCCGTCCCATTGGGCCTGCTCTACGCTTTGGGGAGGATTATAGCAAGAGCGATCCGCATCTGAAGCATCAACGTACGTGCTCCCAGGCCGGATGTGGGCTTTAATTCGTACGGCGTACGAATTAAAGCCAATTCCCAAACCGGGGTTTTGTGTCAAGGGTTCGGCTCATCGCTGTCCCAAGAATCATTATTAAGAAGCCCAATAATATATACACCAAACTAGAAATACTCTTGCCCCTGGAAATTGAATTTGGCCTCACATTATAGACTTTGGTGTTCCTAAAGCAGCACACGCACTTCGTATTGAGCCACAGTCCCCCGAGTTGGGGCCTGACTCCTCTGAAGCCGAGCCGATTCACAGACGAAGCCCAGGTTTGAAAACCCCCATCAGTCCTCAGAATCCAATAATCTCGGTCGTCCCTTGTGACAACGTGCACCTGATGCACGCAAGATTCGACCGAATCAGCCCGAGGCGATAGTACGGTATCCCCGAGGGGACGTCGCGGTCTGCTGTCACGATTAATTACTGCAAATTTCCATCACGACAATCGGTAATTTCCTTCACGATATGGCAAATTTATATAACGGTTTAATTGTTAACAATAATCTGGATTAGGCCTTTATTTTGTTGTGACGATTTTTTCCCATAATGCAAACATATTCACGTCATGTTGTAACAAATAACAGTTAATATTGTTTTAGGGAAAAACAATAGTAATGGAAAGAAAAACGTTCTATCGTAAAAAAAAAAAAAAAAAATATCACGCTTTTACTATACGCAAACTTCTCCTTTGCAGCGCATAAACCGCTCTGCTCTTTTGGCGTGGGGCAACCGTTGATATTGGTAGAGTCACGTTCCGGCGAAACCGATCGCTTTGGAGACATCTCCCGTACCCGTCTTGAACAAAATCACTCTTGGGCTGACATTAACAGAGCGATACCGCGTTGCATCTATTTGCTGATTGCTGGGATTCTCGTCCTTATATGACAGCAGATCCCGCGAGATTTGCCGCACTTGTAAAGTATAACGAAACTGGCCCTTCGCGACGATGCATTTCTTGATGAACGTGTATACAGTTTCCAACGTCCTTTTTAAGTGGCACAGATATCGATAGTCCAGTTGTATGTGTTGTGTGGGATATTGGCAAGAAAATAAAACCCTCCTTTGGTACAATTATCAAAGGCAGAAACAGTCGTCCTAGACTTTAAAAAAAAATGTGGCTGGCCATGTTTAGTGACAAGAGACTGAAGAATACAACTCATCTAGGAAAAAAAATGTATTGTGATGTGACTGCTGTACTAAAGACCGAATTACTTATTTTATTTAACACAAAAGGTGCCATTTTTAATAATGATGTGCGTGCAGGACATGACATTTCACGCGTTGCGAGTATTGACGAGAATGTACTGCACTGAAGCATATACAACTTGCTCTCTTGGGCTAGACTGGTGTAGGGTGCTGGAGGCGGCGTTTTCATCACAAAATGGCTTGATTGAAGAGTTGATATTACATTATTGGCCTGGCGATAGAGAGAATATTGACGGAAAATTGAGGGAATTATTGCCTATAGGCCTTTAGCTGACAATATAAAGCGACACTCCGTAGGGAAAATGGTAATTTATTAGTCGGTAAAAAAAGATTCCTTGCAGATAGGTTGCCTTAGGACTGAGTTAAATTCACCAGGGACGTCGGTCACTTTCAAGCATCGGGGTCCTTTCACACGATGACACCTTTAGTGAGGTTTTACAAGCATTGGACGATTTTGTCAAACCTCGTGAGGTTTGGTGTCGTGTGAAAGGGGCTTCATAACGCGCCTGGATCGTACGATTGTTGTCTCCGGTTGGCCCGTGTCTCGATGGTGAGATACGACATGGAGTATTTCGTTCCGCCAATGATTCTCTACGGACGATCAGGATCGTGTACGTGCTACGGCCTATACGATACTTCAGTGGCAACTCATCTTGTTCCTTGAAACAACATGCTTGACAAAATGGAGTAAGGAATTATAACACTTCAGATTGTTTATCAACGTGTGGTTTCAAACTCAAAGTACTATTACCCCTAGAATACATGTATAAGGATTTTATAAAAAAAAAAATTGGTATAATCAATATATAAAGCCAAGAAATAAGTTTCTCGACCAGGCTTTGTTAAGGAAAAAGGAAGGAGCTGGCCAATTTTTCCCTAATTATATTTTCCAAGATGGCGGATTTTCCAAGATGGCGGATGGGTTCTGCCATTTTCTCGATTTATTTGCCGACACTCTTGTGTCCAAGCATGCCAAGGGAGCCGTCACCCATTTACCACATTTTCAGTTGGCATACATAATAGCCACAATTTTACTAGAAACAATTTAAAAGACGACATAGGCCTAGGCCTATATTGCAAATGTGTATGTTTTATAAAAGGAGGTATACCCAACCAACATGGGAAGTATATAGGCAGTTTCAAAATAACTAAATCCAAGGAATTGTGGTAGGAAGGTACATGGTCACGGCAAGAAAAGAAACGGGCAAGAAGTTCATTTTCATCGAAAAGACCAGGTAAGTCGTGGTGGCCGAGTGGTTAAGGCGTTGGACTTGAAATCCAATGGGGTCTCCCCGCGCAGGTTCGAACCCTGCCCGCGACGTTTGACATTTTTTTTAGCTTTTCAATTTATTTTTACAGTTGCAAAAAAATAATACGGACAATGTTCTTCCCAGGCGCGGATCCGGGGGATGGGGGGTTCAAAACCCCAGCTCTGTCAAAAAATTATGTGTATTTTTCCCATAGAAATTCAGTTAAAATAATCCCCCCCCCCCTGCTGTGACACCAAACAAAAATTAACTAGTCCGGCTTTGCACAAAATACGGACAGAGCCAGCTTGAGTTTCGGAGGCCAAGTGTCCAGAGAAAAAAACCTGTCTACATTTCAGATTGTTTTGCCGATAACCCCCACCCCCCTTGCGAAAATTCCTGGATCCGCCCCTGCTTAAGTTCGCTTTTATCGAACACCCGACGTGGACTTCATTATACACCTCAGTAGCAACTGTGAACAGTAAGTAAGGGTAGAGTATTATTGCCTTGCAGCTAAATTTCATTAATTTACCAGGCTGTATAAATGTCACCCTAAACTCCGAAGAATCCAATATTGGCGTTTGTATTTCCTGCCTTAGGAACGGTTTGCTCAGCATCCTCAAGGTAAACACGGCATGTCAGTCACATCT